GAGTTTTATTGGATAAGTTCAGTTTGTTTATATCAACCCCTTTCGTTATTAATAGCTGAACACATTCATCGTACGAATCTGACATATGGCCACTTTCTGCAAGACAATGAAAAAGAGTACCTTGATGGCTTCCAATATTAATTTCTGCTCCTCTTTCTGCCAAATATATTACCGTTGTCACCATACCCCTTTCAGCAGCCAGTTGGATGGGCGTTTTCCCATCAATATCTTCTAGATTAACATCCGCCCCTGACTCCACCAATAATTTTACACAATCAAGAACTCTCTCCGGCTTCCTTTTATCTAAACCATATTTCCACAAACTGTCCTTTCTGCCTATACAATAATGTAGGGCAGAATATCCACGATGTGTTGTCTGTTCATTTATTGTATTTATTAGTTCGCTCTTCAACAAAATCTTCAAACTGTCGATGGTTAGTTCATGGCAACATAACATTAATAACGTTTCCTCTTTTTCGGGGTTTTGATCTGGATATTTGAGTTCAAGAAGATATTTTAACACCTCGACACTATTGTTTAGGACGCACTTAGTGAGGGCACTCCAGTTGTATCTTGATGTTGAATGTGCAAAATACGGAGGTATTCCTTTGGATTGGAGATATTTAACACCCTCAATAAAATCAGATTTTATTGCCGCCTCTATCAGTTTTATATTGGTCTCAACATCTACAAAGTTGTTAGAAATTCTGACTGACGTCAGCAAGAATTCAACCATAGGCAGACATCTGTTCTTAAGAGCAGCCTCACAGAGTTCTACCCATATCCAATTTGGCAAACGGTCGTACCCCCATTTCATATACTCCTGAAGAATTCTTTCTGCCTCAACTGTATCATTTGTATTTACAGCCTCTCTTAACCTGCAATTACAATCAATGTTAAAGATAGGTTACCATGCAACAAAACACCAACACAAGAGAGCTTTCTGAAAAACGAAAGAAGGCGATTAATGTTATCCAGATTAGAACAAGCCAGCTGTGAGGCTAGTGTCATACGCCGAAATAGCAAAATAATTAGATGACACATATTAATTAATCGCACATTTATTTTTTTCTAAAGTATCGAGCAATCAAACTGATTATCAACTATACACTAAGTTTCGTTACTCTCTATCAAATAGAATCAGAGTTATCTTGTCCCAAAGCATCGACCAATGAAATTGCTTAGGTCTGCTTAGCTTTAGCTCGAAATGTTTATCATTGAACTCAGTCAAGACATTCAACTAATGAACATCTACATCAAGTTTAAACATTCTACCTTAATTAGAAGCAGAGTTGTTATGTTCCAAAGCCTTGACAAATCAAATTGCGTATCGCTCCTTAGCCTAAGCAGTAAATTCTCATCATCGAGCTTAGACAGGGTAATGATATAATGAGTTTCATCGCTCTCACTTAATTATAACTGAAGTTATCGTGCCCCTAAGCATCAAATAATACCATAAGCAGACTTATCTCTGCTTACCATAAGCAGACAATGTTCCTCATCGAACTCCCATCAAGTCATCTCTCTGCTTACCCTAAGCAGAAAATGCTCATCTTCGCACTCCACCAAGGCATTGACCTAACAAACACCTACACCTAGGTTGCATATTCTAGCTCAATTAAAAGGAGAGTTATTATGTCCCAAAAAGTGTGACGGACAGACAGACGGACGAACCCATTTTAATAGTCCCTGCTTTCTTTGAAAGGCGGGGTACAATAAGAGTTAAAGAAATAAAATGGTGAAATACGGGGTCGACTCCACAAAATAATAAACCGAATCTTAGTCGAGGAAAGACTGACATTAAATAGCATGTCATGACCGTATGATCATACATGGTACCAATTATATATATCACGTGATAGGATAATCTCATGCTAATGACAATTGGACCCAGCTTACAAAATATTCAGACGCTGTCACCCACGAATGAATGTTAAGAGGTTTGTTAGGTTGAAATCTAGGGCGGAAATTTCATTTTTATTGGTCTCTACTTCCAGTTTGTGTATCTAAAGTTTTCCATGAATAACATCATACGTGCTTTTCAGCAAGGGGTTGCCAAATGTTGCTCCATCTGTGGTAGAAAGTGTTCTACCCAACGAAAATTTAGGACAAAGTTAGGGCCGGCCTAAGAGACGGGAACTAACATTAAAGTCAATGTGGAAATCAATGGTGATCTATGGCCAAATAGAATGTACCACCATAGCAATTTTGCGATCATATGTTATAGTCGTGTTACAAGCCTAACACATAATCACAAAACAGTTCTGTTTCAGAGATATTAGCATTATTATTTCTTGTGTATGTTGTGTTAATAGCATTATTATTTGATGTGTATATGTGTTGTGTCATTTGATGTATGGCAGGGGCTTAGAGCAGTTCATATGTTTACATTATATGTACATGTATACAGTATAATCGAATGGTACAATTGGTATATGTATAATAGAATATTTTAAGTGATACAATTGGTACATGTTTAACATTAATGACCAACTTACTGTTGACTGTATCTCTGTGATTTGCGCCAATATTCCTCTGGTTCACATCCACTCATTGTAACACGTTAAACTGAACACAATGTAAATAAGTCAAATTATACCGTGGTAAATTGGTTACAGCAAATCTTGTTTAGACCTACCAGTAGTCTCGTATTACCTACCATAAACAGTCACCTGTAACACCTGGTTACGACATAACATATAGTCTCGTATAACCAAACACACATGATTTCATAAAATTCTATTCATAACCATATAATTAATACTATGTACTTCAATTTCTAGGAAACACTATTCTTAGAATGTAAAGTGAAAATGAAAGTATAATATTGACTGATCATTTTATAACGTGGATTCATACATGCTACAATTGTATTAGCTGGTTTCCTTTTTTTTTGTTTTTTTGTTTATATATCAAGCTAAATAGATCTACAGAGTGTTCATTAAACTTTGAACTTAAAGTAAGTTGAACACCCCAGTCAGAACAAAGGGGTCAGTGTGTAAATCTATTTTGTTCAGCTCTGGGTCTTGCTTTATAACTGTAAACGCCAGGGAAAATGTTTCAGTCAAACATAGGGACAAAATTGAAATACGTCGTACATTCCGCGAAAGGAACAATAAGATCGGCAATTCGGTCAAAATTATAAATTCGACATTAATTAACTCTCGATGCCATCTTTAGCCTATGAAAATAGTCTCGTATAACAATATGCATTTAAAATGAAGAGTGTAACATGCCTGTGTGATTAGGTAAACGAAATGTATATTTACAGCTAAAGTATGTAATTTAATATACACTGAAAAAACACTTGTGTTGGATGTCAACACAAGTACTTGTGTTAAAACTAATCTACACAAGTTATGTGTTGTTTTGCATTGTATTAACACAAACTTGTGTCGATTTATAAAATCTTGTGTTTTTTTCATATCATTAACACAAGTAATGTGTACCTTCCAAGATTTGTTTTCTTTTTAAAAAAAAAACTCCATACAAAGTCTGAATTCGGGAGTCGTCAAGTTTTAAGAAAAGTAATAAAGGGCTTAATTCACATCTCGAAAATCACATGCTGTTCTTCACTGGAAGGGTGTGAGTACCAATTAATCAGACAATTGCCAGACAGACTTGAATGTTAATTGATGTTAAGTTGTCTGTAAAGTTAAAATGTCTGTCTTTTTTTATTGACCCAATAAACTGATAGATCAAATGAATATATAGTGTACATGTGATTTTCAGCACCCTGGTGTTTTCAAAAATTGATTCAATGTACAATGAACAAAAAAAATGAGTAAAACTCTTAATAATGTAATTGGTTGATGTAATCGAAATTGGACAGTATTGGTTAACTGAAAAGTAACCAATCAAATTTAATTGATCATCCACGTGTATCTCATAATCGACTTATTGATATAATGGTTCTCCAAGTTATCTATACTTTTTGTCTGCGATATCACTTCGGTGGAAGCGGACGTAAAATACAACTAACTAAGAAGAAGTATCTATACTTTAGTCATTGCGATAACTTCTTTCTTTGATATTATATCAGCGACATTCGGTTAGATAGATGTAGTGAAGTTAGCATCAACAGCTAGGGTGCTTTAGCCGTGATATTTTAAAAAAAATTATAATGGTCACATAGAATACCAGACCGCAGGTTTGTAAATTTTTACAAAAAATAAAACCGTGTATTTAATTTAGCATGTATATATTGCTTCTATGTATATAATAATTCGTTCGGTTAAAACAGTCAGATTTAGAACTACTGCCACTGACTGCACCGGAAGTCTATTTATATAATGGCGCCACAAAGAAAATTTTTTTGATGTGTTCTAAAAGTGTTCCGCTAATTCAGCAATCTAATGAATCTGTCTTAATTTTTCTGAAATCGTGCTTAATTATTATTAGGTAATCGGCGCTACACCGTTGTTCAAATACTTATAATTGAAAGAAACCCCCGACTAGGACCAGCAGGTAAGAATCTGTCTTGATTTTATAGTAATACCCGGTTGCAATTATTGGCCGCCATCTTTGATTTTTATAGACGTTCGGGCAAAAGGAGAAATGTATATCCAGACATGGACTATAGCTAGATACTAACTTTTGTGTTAGTTGTTTAGTTGAAATGTAATCTTATTTCTGTAAAAGAAAAAAACAACAACAAACAAATCAGCCTTTTTTTTATATCAATGTCATCAATGTGTAGGCCTAATATTAGACTTTCAATGTTAGCATGTACTACACAAAGAAAAACAGGTAACAGAATTTCATTTCCTTTTAATATATTTTTTTAATAATGGCCAATAATTGTTATTGTATGTAACACGAAAAGTATTTATCTCTGTAGAGAGAGGGCGCCGGGCGAGTAAATGGGGTTTAAAGTTCACTAAATTCACTTGACACAAACTATGCCATTCATTTCCTTGTATTAAATTGGTCGAATCAAGTAGGTCCATGATATATATATGTCCTAGAATCAAGTAGGACAGGTAGTCTTCTTCCGCCCTTTTCTGAACACTGTCTCATTCTATTGCCATCTGTGTATGTTGTGTTATATTAATTCTGCATAATTAACTCTAGTTAACCTAGTTAACTCTATAATAATAAATGAATTTAATATATAAATAAATAAATAAAATATAAATAAACCAATAATATATTTGTAGTTTAATATGTTTTATCTTATCATTACAGGCAAAGCATGAAGCCAAAGGAAATGTTTTTACCAAGGCATGTTCCTCAATAGCGGAGAGAGTTTTATCCAGTGTCGGTTCTGCAGAAGAACCCATTCATAGCAGACCAAACATTGCAGCACTTGTAAGGTCGCTATAAAGAACCCGACAGACTCTGCGACCAAAAGATCCCACTGACGTGTCGTCAAGCGTAAGTACTCATGCAATTAAATACCCATGTATATAAGAATTTATTAACATGTAATTAAATGTACAATTTTATTTATTTATTAACATGTACTTAAATGTACTTTTTTATTTATTTTTTGTTTTAGCTTGACGAAGATTTCATCGATCATAGTGCACCGGGATTTTATCAAAAAAGAGTAAAAGTTGGGGAAAGGTGCCATCACATTTTTTGTACTGATAGACAGATGCAACTACTCGCACGCGCAAAAACTTGGTATATGGATGCAACTTTTCGGGTGGTGAACAAGCCATGGTCTCAGCTGTTTTCCATACACGCCTTCATTAAGACTGGAGAGACCACCCGACAGTTACCATTGGTGTTTTGTGTAATGTCGGGTAAAAGCCAAGACGACTATTATAAGGTAAATAGCACTTACTGATTGAATTACTATTAATAGTAAAAAAGGACTATTATTTGGGACCTTGAAATTGTCACAAATGGGTCGCACTAACAGCGACATTTGTTTCAGGCATATTTGTTTCATCGGTGACACGTCTGAATGCAACGACAACAGCCTGGTTGATTGATTTGTTGATTGGAGTTCAGATGTCTACATTAAAATCGACCACTTTCAGGTTGCCGTATTCACGGCCAGGCAAGACCGACTTGAAATTTTTCTGGGGGAGACAGGCCCCAACAAATCCCCCGACGGTGCGTTTCACGACTTTGGCGCAAGACGGTGACCTTGAAGAGACGTCGAAAACCATTTAATAGACATAGTAAAAGTCATATCTTACGAGATTATCGCTGGTCTTGTCAGAAAATGCTATTTTATATATGACCAGTTTGTGTTTGAAAAATTTAATTATTTATTCTCCCACCATTAAAGCACACTAATTACGAAATATCGCTCTCAGAAACTTCATGGTTTCTTTTGCAATTTGTTTGGGGTAAGACGTTATATAAATAATATCAATCTGTCTACCACACAAATTTAACAGATACAAATGCATGTTATTCCACAGGTAGACAGACAGGGCCTCCTTTGAAGGGACTCAGTGAAGGGAACGCGGTTGGTTTAGAGTTTGTCTGACCCCTTTGAATATTTGCGTCTCATCTCCAATGAAAACAATCATGTTGCTCTCATGCTGTTCTCAACCAGAATCAAACATATATCGTACCTGAGATTTGTTAGCATGTTCCACACAACCCAACATTTATCGGCACCGGGATTAAGGGTGTATATCTTTGTTTCTAACGCTTATTGGGAATACGCCACGGAAACTACAATAAAAACTTATTTACAAAAACATTCTAAAGAGGGAAAACTGACATATTTCAAGCTTTACTGTATTTAAAGAAATAATTTAAATCAGCCGGCTGAAACCCCGTCTCCGCTATTTGTTCAGTCATTCTTTAGGTACAGTGCCAGTTTCCACCGACAATGATATTGCAAACAAGTGTCCAATCTATAAAAGCATACATTCCTACAAAATGTTTCTTTAGTCAAGTGAAACAATAAATACATAACTATGCGAGGGTGTGGTGAGTAAATTCGTGGTAACGTGAATAGGCTAATGTGACATAGAACAAGGTCACATTGATGTTGACAAATACGTAAGACGATATGAACATCAACTAAAAAGATATGTAATGTGATTCAGCTGCAAGGTGATATATGCATATATGCAGCATAGATAATTAAAACTTCTATTCAAGTTAAACCAACTGTATCTATTTATTTAAGTCTTACGTCGAGCTGAATACATTTTATGATTTATTTTCATCTATTGGTGGTTAACAGTGTGTAACTAAAAACTAAAATTGGATCTTATTATTGCCAATGATATAATGTACATGTAATAGCAAGTGTATATATATTTTTTGTTCAGTCTGTACACAGTAACATATCTGAGAACCATATTATTATCATTTCTGCCCAAGGCTCCCTGTGCCTTATAGTTAGCAGTGATACAAGGCAATTACCAATTTTCCATGTTCTTGGCCTGAAGAAATAAAATAATAAAAGTCAAGTTTTTATTATTATGCAAGTGGAAAAATACAATTATTCATAGTATGATTTGAATAAATACAACTGATTTGAAGTTGGAATTATTATTTGTCTAAGATGACTGGGCATTTACAAATTGAAATAGCTACTCTTCAATAAGAAAATACATTAATATTTTTCCCAATTCACCTGGATTTTATTGTAGGTCTTTGTACGTGAAATAGCTTTATTTAACGTCCGCTACCACCGAAGTGATATTGCAGAAAATTAACAAATTCGGATTCCCTTTTAAAGGAAATTGACTGCACTATTGCTGGATTGTATTATATAGGTCATGTCAGTTTTTTTCAAAATGGCGCCCAGAACACAAAACAAACATTGCAATTCAGGGCTGACTGGTGTCGAGGCTGTATCCTAAGAATGATTTTTTGAATATTTAATCACACAGAAACACAAGTATGCACATGCAGTTATGATATAATATTAAATTAGCTTACCTCAAATACCTCGAAATATACTGTTTGGTCAGTTTGTCCGCCCGCCATATTTCTATTAGTCGCACATTCTTCGGCCAATTAAAATGGACGTATATTTTGTTTTAACCGAAACGAAAAATTTGCGTTATAAATAGTAAACGAGCTTGATTGACAGACCACTGCTAATGTTTTTTCGTGAAACGGTATAACACACGGCCGCCATTCTCGATGATTGACAACTCACATATTTCCTCATCCACCAAAGAACCGTTAGGTTTCTTTGAACATACTGTAATAACATTGGGATTATCAGTTAATCAGCTTTAATTATCCCGCTTTGATCGTTGCCATTTCTTATATTTTCCACAAAAAAACTTTGCCTTGTACGCACTAATTTATCAATTGGTATTGCCATCTACGACAAGCATGTCAACGTGCAGCTCACGGATTATCGTTAACAATTTCTAGGGGCTTGTAAAAAAAGATTGCATGTCGTGTAAATATTTATTTTGTTTTTTGTGTAGGTCATTTTCAAATAAATTCATCAGCATATTATTCGTTTTAAATAAATATAAAACTTTTATGAGGAACGATGATTATCAAAGAACCGTAAGTGCAACTAATGTTTTATCGTTTGGTTGAGCCTTTTACTAACCACGTGTTTCATGTTAATAAATATTTTCTTTCGTGTTTTGTTTGAATTGGCCTATTTCTAATAAATTATCCCGAGTCCCAAACGTCGTTAACCCGAGTCCCAAACGACGTATACCAGAGTCCCAAATGTCGTGGTCATATTTTTTTGAGTCCCAAATGACGCGAGTCCCAAATGATGTGAGTCCCAAATGACATGTAATCAACCTAGAGTTGTTGTTAGTGTTTGTCGGATAGATCCTTTATACTTACTGGCGCTAGGTAATTTCGAGGCTAATATTGTTCAATTTTATTTGAATGATTTGCTTGCGCGTACCGTAGGAGTGTATTAGAAACAGTGTTTGCGCAGGTTCGAGAACGGCTGAAGAACATGAAAACACTTTCATGAGTCTCGAACATGAGAGAACGGTATCCATGGTAACAAGATGAATTAAATTCATACAATCTGTTACGATAACTTGTTTAGTATTTACTTCGCTATTAAGCATAATTTTGATAAATTATGACACCGTTTTACTCCTTTTCAATTCTTTGGATGACGATTACATCACCTTTTGATACGCTCTCGTCCGTAGGTTTGTCCATTGTCTACAGAACTGATTATTTTAAAATTGATATGTTGTTTATTTTAATGAGATGAATCCTATTTAATTTCAATAATTTCTGTTAGTTTCTTCTGGAGTTATGGCCCTTGTTTCACTTTGTGAAATTCATTTGAATCTTTTAAATTAGTGAAACGAAGACATCTATTAAATTTCTGCGATTTCTGTGAATTATGTCTAGAGTTGTGGCCCTTGTTTCACTTTTTCGAACCTTGTGAAGGCACGAACAACAAAATTATCATCCGATTTGTATGAAAATTGTATGCATTATTTAAATTAGTAAAACACAAAACAAAAAAATCTGTCAAATTTCAACAATTAAGGCCCTTGTTTCAGTTTGTAGAACCTTTGTAAACCCACAAACGACAAAAATTATAATCTTGTATGAAATTTTCGTGTAAATGCCCAAATTACCTACAAAAGAATGAATATGCGACAATCCCTGTTGACTGCGCAAACGATTAAACTGCTGTGGGCATATGTTTCGTTGCCTGGCAACCTAACTTACTTCATGTTATACTGGCCACATACTACATCCAATTTTCGAACGGTATTAAACTTCTAAATTAATAAATGCACCCATGATGCTGTTTTCTCAGCAGTTATCGATGCGTCGACCTTTGTAAACCCACAAACGACGAAAATTATAATCTTGTATGAAATTTTCTTGTAAATGCCCACATTACCTACAAAAGAATGAATATGCGACAATCCCTGTTGACTGCGCAAACGATTAAACTGCTGTGGGCATATGTTTCGTTGCCTGGCAACCTAACTTACTTGATGTTATACTGGCCACATACTACATCTAATTTTCGAACGGTATTAAACTATTAAATTAATAAATGCACCCATGATGCTGTTTTCTCAGCAGTTATCGATACGTCGACCATGTTTGTTCTCCCTCACACTAGCTATGAAGTAGTGTGGGATTTGAGAACGGGAATGTGTTCGTGAACGTTCTCTGCACCGGAACACTGTTTCGAATACACCCTAGGGGTATTTAGGAAAGGGAGGAAACCGGAGGACCCGGAGAAAACCCACAAGGCTGGACAGGCGACCCTTTTCCTAGTCACATTCAAGTGGGGAATCACATAATAATGGTCTATTTCAAATAAGATATTTGCATATAAAGAAAGAAGGCTTACAGCCTCTTTCAAATGTGATATTTGCATATAAAGAAAGTACAAACTTAAATCGTCAGTGCTGGATAAACTAGCCAAAGGATTTGGCTGAATCAATTGGCGCTAAACTTCACCTAGTTTATCCACTGACATACGCCCGAATCAAACATGTTTGATATATTTGGCCGAATTGTATTTGAGTGGTGTGTCCGCTTCGCCGAAGCATTCGTCTGATTTTAGAATTCATTAGCCAATCACCACTCATTCATATCGAGTGGGTATCGCAAACTAGCAGTCGAACTGTGACACGGGTGCTACAGCCAACAAATTCCAACTACCATACTATCGGCTTAAATGCACGCCAATGGGACCTCAGGTTTTGTGTTCCATTGAAACGACTAGAAATGAAATGAAATGGGGTTTAACGTCCTACTGTTTTGCTCCGAACTGGGCTAATGAAGACAGGCATACACCACACAGTGTGCTATGAGGGAAATTTTGCCCGGACAGCGGCACTGCGGTGTATCGAATTCCAACTGTCAAGGGATCTTTTACGTGCACGCCAACGTGTACACGGGACCTCGTTTTTTCATTTCATCCGAATGACTAGACAGCTGTCCTTGTCAGGCCCTCCGTCCTGCATCACTGACAAGGGGGAACCACGCCGGGAAATCTGGGTGAACTTTCTCGGCCAATGCAGGGATCGAACACCCGACCTCCAGGCTAGCGAGCCAGCGTCTTACCCACTTAGCCACCATGACGACTAGGCATGGAATCCATGCTGAAAAATTCAAATGAGCTTTCTCGGTCAACACTGGGAGCGAACCCGCAACCTCCCGGGTACCAAGCCAGTGCCTTACACACTAAGCCACATGACTCTCTTCTAATTACTGTGACAGTCCAGTCACATGACAATCAAGGGTTATTAAAACAGATTTTCAAGGCTTGGGTAAGATCTTCGGGATTCAAATGGTTTTAGATATCACACAGTTTGTATATGGTAAGGTATCTTAAACAGTTTATTACATGTCACATATTCATATTTTTCAGTTTCCATATTAGATGCCATAGCAAATCAAAGATCATATAATAAAATAAGTCAAAAAACCCAAATCTGGAAAAAGAAAGAGCTGAAGAAATGGTGATTTGAGCACCTATGCTTTCTCATAGGTGTTTTTGGAGGGTGAGTGTTCAATTCTAATAGAAAAGATTGTTGTTATGGTATTTTAGAATCTCACCATAATGTGTTTGGCACAATATATCCCGGTTGGAGCTGATGTGACATAAACCTCCATTTCATTTCATTGTTTTGAAATTTAAAATTCAGTTTAGTATAGTAAATTTGTACACGTACATGTATGTACACAAACAGAATCTTACTTGTGTCCAGATACATGTAGATATGACTGTCTCATCTGTGGGGGACCACGGTGGCCAAGTGGGTTAGACACTGGCTCGCATATTTTAAGGTCGCGGGTTTGCAGTAAGACATTGCAGTACGGAGGACTGGGCTAATGAAGTTGGGCATATGCCATACAGTGTGCTACGAGAGAAATTTTGCCGGGTACCGTGACCTTAAGGCCTTCTCTTGTATCAAATTCTAACTGCCAGGGGATCTTTTACATGCACACCAATGTGTACACGGGACCACGTTTTTTTGTTCAATCTGAATGACTAGACAGCTGTCCTTGTCAGGCCCTCCGTCCTGCATCACTAACAAGAGGAAACCACGCCGGAAAATCTGGGTGAACTTTCTCGGCCAATGCAGGGATCGAACACCCGACCACCAGGCTAGCGAGCCAGCGTCTTACCCACTTAGCCACCATGACGACTAGACAGGGAATCCATGCTGAAAAATCCAAATGAGCTTTCTCGGTCAACACTGGGAGCGAACCCGCAACCTCCCGGGTAGCAAGCCAGTGCCTTACACACTAAGCCACATGGCTCTCTTTTAATTACTGTGACTCTCCAGTCACATGACAAACAAGGGTTATTAAAACAGATTTTCACGGTTTAGGTAAGATCTTCGGGATTAAAATGGTTTTAGATATCACACAGTTTGTATATGGTAAGGTATCTTAAACAGTTAATTACATGTCACATATTCATATTTTTCAGTTTCCATATTAGATGCCATAGCAAATCAAAGATCATATAATAAAATAAGTCAAAAAACCCAAATATGGGAAAAGAAAGAGCTGAAGAAATGGTGATTTGAGCACCTATGATTTCTCATAGGTGTTTTTGGAGGGTGAGTGTTCAATTCTAATAGAAAAGATTGTTGTTGTGGTATTTTAGAATCTCACCATAATGTGTTTGGCACAATATAGCCCGGTTGGAGCTGATGTGACATAAACCTCGATTTCATTTTAATATTTTGAAATTTAAAATTCAGTTTAGTATAGTAAAACTGTACACGTACATGTATGTGCACAGACAGAATCTTACTTATGTCCAGATACATGTAGATATGACTATCTCATCTGTGGGGACCCATGGTGACCAAGTGGGTTAGACACTGGTTTGCATATTTTAAGGTCGCTGGTTTGCAGTAAGACGATGCAGTACGGGGGGCCTTACAAGGACAGCTGTCTAGTCGTTCAGATTGAACAAAAAAACGTGGTCCCGTGTACACATTGGTGTGCATGTAAAAGAACCCCTGGCAGTTAGAATTTGATACAAGAGTAGGCCTTAGGGTCACGGTACCCGGCAAAATTTCTCTCGTGGCACACTGTATGGCATATGCCCAACCTCATTAGCCCAGTCGAAGCTGAACAGTAGGACGCCAAACCCCATTTCATTTTATTTTTTTCATTTTGTCTCATCTGTGACAAAGCAAACCAACACATTACAATACAATTTAATTAAATTAAAACTTTCGTCTATTTAAATATTGAATCGATTTAAGTCAACTAAAACATAGTATGTTTTTTTTTCTCAGTTAACTACATCAGAAAGATCAAGACAGTTGGAAATGGCTATTCATATTATGGAAACTTTTTCTCACAGAGCTTGATAATCAGGTAAAATGTAAGTAACATACATATTTGTATTTTTAATCATCAACTAGTTCTATACACTTGATTGGTAATCTAGTTATTCTTCTTGGGGCAATGCCTAGGACTCTCCTATTCAAGTCTTGGCATTCTTGATTTTTGACAATCACATCCATTGATTTTCTTCAAGTTGTGATAGACCCTATGTGTATTTTTACAGTAAATAGCAGTATAAAAATGGACAATATTTTACTTTTCAAATAGATTTTAATAGGTAATATCCAATTTGTTGTCGATGGAAATAAAATATAATAATCTGCCTGGGTCTTACTGGACAAGACACAATAAGTGTTACCCAAAGATGAAACAAAATAGAGACTCAGTCTCGATGTGGCAAAATAAATTGTTTATTTAAACATTGTGAACCATAAATAGTAAGAAAGTATTCTTATTGCCTACTTTTTATTTTTTAGGCTGGAAGATTATTTGATGTATGATAACAACAAGAGATCCCAAGCATCAATTTATTTTATAATTCTGGAAAAGAATGCATTTGACCCAATTTTTGAATATTTTTTTTTGTTTTTACTGTTAAATATTCATCCCAAACACAATTAGATTTTAATTCTCTACAGAAATTTATGTATAATATAGAATGTAAAGTGACATATAAATCACTTAGAATTTGGTCGGAAATCATAAAGTATTTAATAGGCATAGTCTAGAAACCAAATGTAGATCAAATATACCCAGAATTACAAAAAACCTTGACCTACATTAAGGTGACTTTCCCTTGCTTATGAAATGAAATAGGGTTTAATATCCTACTTTTCTGTGTTATTATGGTGATTCTGCCCTACAACCTACTCTTATATCAAATATTTCAACTGTCAAGGGTTGCTTAAAGGGAACCCAGGAGGGCCGAATGGTTAACACACGCACATTGGATCAGAAGGGTCTGTCATTGAGTCAGATAATTCAATTGTCAAGGGTTCTTTAAAGTAAACGCAGTGGGGGTAGTTTCAATTCTGGGCTTATACCCAATTATCCCTTGCCATGTCCTACACTACTGACGTGTGGGAACTATGTCGGAAAATCCAGTTGAAATTTCTCGGCCAATGCACTCACTGAACCACAGTGGCTCCTCCTTGCTTTTGACTTGTGATTATTTATATATAGTTTGTACATATTATTTAATGTTTGCGATTTTCTCTGATATTTTTTTATTTTTCAATCCTGTAATCTTGATGCTTTGCTCCTTTTATGTACAAAATATTCATTTTGTTTGAGGAAAAGGTTCTACATCATTTTATTACGCCTGCAAAATAGTGCATTTTTCTTTTGTTAGTTTTCTGTGTATGCTAGTTATTTCTAGATGCCTCACAAATCACTTGTAATATGACTTTGTAGCACTTTACAGTTTCTGAAAGTATTTCAATTTAGTGCATAATTAATCTAATTAGGGCTTGGTTTGGATGTTATTAAATTTAGATATATTTGAATTATATATTTTTGGGGTATGGGGTAGGGATCTTTCTTTTCTCAGTTCTTGTTTTCGGGTAAAGACAAAAATTAAATAGCTATTTTGTATTTTGTGATGGGGGGGGGGGGGGCAAAGTATAACAAAATTTTTATTAGTATTAGAATTATATCTCTGTTTTTCTGTTAACATTTCAAATGTACACCAAGGAACTGATGGCCATCAAAACTGCACTGGAATGGCTAGCTACGCAAACACACCAAAAAGCTGTAATCCTGTCTGACTCCCTGAGTAGCATCAAATCTAAACAGGCAGATCATAATCCACTAAGTCAGGGACCACAATAAAAAAAAATTAAAAACAGTGGGAGGGAGGTGATCCTTGCATGGATCCCTTCTCATGTCAATATCTTCGGCAACGAGCAGGCCGACAAGCTGGCGAAGGAGGGTTTGTCACTAAATGAAATAGACAATTTAGAATATAGCAGTCAGGAATTTGCAAGCATAGCAAAAGAGAAGATTAAAGATAGGTTGCCAGGCAACGAAACATACGCCCACAGCAGCTTAATCGTCCGATGGTGGTCTACAAGGGTAATGTTACACAATTGGGGGGATATATAATTGCATACCCTCACGAACTCAATTAGCAATCTTATCACAGGGCTAGCAGACAGATCACAGGTGGTCAAAAGATGGCAGTAAACATGATAAGTCTAACAGACAGACAAAGGTCGTTAGGAAGTCATTAATCATCACAGCTATCCCGAGTTACGCAAGATCTTGAATAGTAAAGCAATCTGCACGGGAAGCTTAATCTGTTATTATATAATGACCAGCTGCCAAGGGATCACTATAGGGATAGGGGTTATTATATTTTTCATAGCACGACATGTCAGTAAACACCGTTTGGCCAAACGGTATGAAAAAAGAAAGGACTACCGGGCAAAACAAATGGTGGCAAATAATGCCAATAGTGGATCTACACAAAGCAGGGAAAATTCTAACCCCTCGCCATTATCGGAACCGGAACCTGGAACAGAAGAAGTAGAAGTAAAAGAGGAAGGGCATCAATTGTACCCTTCCCTACAGTTAGCTACGACAGCGAAGTAGCGGTCAAAGAAGACGAATACTCTTTGTACTTCCCTGCAATTAGCAAGTGAAGTAGTGAATAAAGAAGCATACTTCTCCCTACAGTTGGCTTGCAGGATGGTGTTTTGCGCCTTATTCGCGCATCTATCTGCGTGTGTGAACATCAGACCAGAGTGCCTCATAATATGTGAATAATTAGAATAGTGTGTGTTCGTGGTTCCAGAGTGCAAAGTAGTTTGTGTTCGTGATTCCAGACTCCACCATATATGTGAATAATTAGAGTAGTTTGTGTTGTGTGATTCCAGGATCTCGTTTGATTTTTTGTTTTTTTGCATCGACCCACGTGTGTGACGGGTGTTGTATATATAACTTTTACGTTCGTGTGTTTATCATTTTCCTTTTGTTTATAGACAATTTTGGATATTATGACATTTTACAAATGCATATATAACTTTTAAATTTGTGTGTTTCATTTACATTTCCTTTGTTTCTTTTTAAACATTTTTGTATACATTTTACAAATGTTTATCTTCTTTTCTTTTTCTATTTTTTAGTTCCATTTTATTCATATTGTAATTAATATTGTAAACAGTTTTAAAAAGTTATGCAAAATAACTTTTCTTTGGCAATGTGAGGAATGTTACACAATTGGGGGGATATATAATTGCATACCCTCACGAACTCAATTAGCAATCTTATCACAGGGCTAGCAGACAGATCACAGGTGGTCAAAAGATGGCAGTAAACATGATAAGTCTAACAGACAGACAAAGGTCGTTAGGAAGTCATTAATCATCACAGCTATCCCGAGTTACGCAAGATCTTGAATAGTAAAGCAATCTGCACGGGAAGCTTAATCTGTTATTATATAATGACCAGCTGCCAATCCCGGTCATAATATAATCCGAAATATAATACCTGGAATTAGTTGATTGGCCAATAACTATATGTCCGTCCAGGTTATTAACCCTCCCCGACCGGATACTGACCAATCAGGTTACGGTGCATGGGTGTGGTATCGAGACTGCAAGGCTGGACATAGATTCGGCCCAGTAATTAAAAGATCAGACAAACCGTTTGAGAAGCAGTCGAGGCCAGAGAGCCGAGCTGGGAACAAGACGGCAACCAGACGAAAAACCCGGTCTATATAAGTAATGTAGTAGAACTGTTGTATATGTGAAAAAGAAGAAATAAAACCATTGTTTGAAGTTATACCAGTGTTGTCATCAAAGAACCCGATTTAAGAACCAATACTGTCACAGTTGTCACATATTTATTCTTTTGTAGGTAATTAGGGGAATTTAATAGACAATTTCATACATATGACATTATAATTTTCGTCGTTTGAGGGTTCACAAGGTTCTAAAAACTAAAACAAGGGCCGTAACTCTGGAAGTAATCTACAGAAATAGTTGAAATTCGACAAGCGTTTTCGTTTTACTAATTCAAATAATGCATATAAATTTCATACAGATCGGATGACAACTTTTGTCGCTCGAACGTTCACAAGGTTCAACAAAGTAAAACAAAGGCCATAACTCTAGAAGTAATTGACGGATATTGCTGACATTCAATAGGCTTCTTTATTTCACTAATTTAAATGATGCATATGAATTTCATACAGATTAGGTGATAACTTTTGTCGTTCAAGCGTTCACAAGATTCAACAAAGTGAAACAAGGGCCATAACTCTAGATGTAATTAACGGAAATTTGTTGAAACTCAATAGGCTTGTTCGTTTTACTAATTTAAATGATACATATAAATTTCATTCAGATCGGATAATAACTTTTGTCGCTAGAGCATTCAAAATATTAATTTCAAACAGATCGGATGATAACTGTTGTCATTAGAGCGTTCACAAGATTCAAAAAGTGAAACAAGGGCCAGAACTCTACATGTAATGAACAAAAATTGCTGAAATTCAATAGGATTCTTTGTTTTACTGATTTCAATGATGCATATAAATTTCATATAGATCGGTTGATAATTTTTGTCGTTAAAGCGTTCACAAGGTGCAAAAAAGTGAAACAAGGGCCATAACTCCAGAAGAAATTAACGGAAGTTCGTGAAATTAAATAGGCTTCTTCATCTCACTAATGCAAACAACATATATCAATTTCAAAACAATCAGATGCTAAATGTACTCTGTAGAGTGTTCACAAGAAATTGTGGACGACGGCAATATACGACCACATTTCCATGTGGGCGTATAAAAATGCATGGAAATCCCGTCTAAACAAGAATGCACCCATCGCTATCAAATAGATAGCAATCGTGTAGACAAGGTTTACATTAATCATCCTTCAATCATAATATGCAAACTCATCACGAGGCTTAAAACAATAGATTACACCTATATACCAATCAAATGGCCGTGTGGACATCTTGCAACCACTTCACATCTACTAATCGACTGCAATCAACTTAAGAAAGAACGCCAATCAATGATGGAAGAACACTCTGTCTCAATTCTCCCCTTTCTCTACCGCCAGACGATAGATACTGGACATCTCAGCTTGTCTGGGATTTCATTGAGGAAATAGGTATGACAAACACATATAATGATAAAACTAATCAATTAAAATAAACTCGTGGGGCTGAGCGCTAAAAGATTCCCAAGAGGACCTACGCCAACCGCCCTACACTACTAATAAAACTTTAACAAAACAAATAAAATGATATCCGTAAGCTAGGTAGTACGCAACATGTCTCCTACAGAGAAGCGTAACCCATCTGGCAACCAAACTAATTAATTAAAAACACAGAGCAGGGCGGGACGCAAAAAGGTCCCCACGAGGGAAACGTTCCGCCCTGCACAAACCAATTAAATTAACCTAAGCAGGGTGGTGCGCAATAATGTCCCCAAAAGAGGGTAACGCAAACAACCTTGCACCCCATATTATTATATTATATCAAATATATACTTAAATAACGATTGATTGTACATCCATGTAATTTCTTATAATGTTGTATTGTACTTACAAATGAAATTGAAATAAAGTTTTTTTTTTTAACTATTTACGATTAAGAATGCCATATTGAATTTATTACTTTAATTTACTTTACCCTATTTTATTTTTATTTTTACTTTTACTTTACCATTTTTTTATTTCTTTTTCCTAATTAGTTTATTATTAGTTTCTAATGGAAGAATGGACCAGGCCATACACTCACCAACAAGCCGCAAGGAAGAGTTGCACCGTCCTGCCATTCAACCGGACAAATCGACCAGACCGACGAAAACGACCCAAATATATATATATATATATATATATATACCGTGTCTAAATGTTCGTCCAAATTCATATCTGCTTTGTCAAATGTCCGTATTGCGTGCATGTCTGTAAATGTTTGTGCTCGTCTAAATGTTTGTCCATATTCATGTCTGTTTTGTCACAAATTCGTCTGTTTATCAATGTCTACTGGCACTTCGTTATTCTTTGCATCTGTTATCTCATGTCTCGTCCTGTTATCTATTGTCTTCTGTACGTATATATAAAAACCTAATTATCCTTTTTTCCACTAATCACATTGTAAATATTTCACTATGTATATATAACATGTAATTGTCTGCGATATCACCTCGGTGGAAGCGGACGTTAAATAAAGCTATTTCACACACATATAGTGTCGTGAATATCCTTGTTCTGGCTTATAGTGTGCCAGGTTTCCGTATATGTTAATAAGTCACGTGATATCCTACATTTGCATATGAAAGTTGATGCTGTACGAAAAATGCTATGTAGAAAGCGTGAAGGACAAATGG